TATCATAATTATGTATGGAAACATTAACATTTTTTGGCAAAAATGTAATGCCATATTATTGACACCTTTCTAAAGCCTTATAGCTAAACCTTAGTTTTGTTGCCATCAAGTCTAGAGCTCTTGCAGCTTTTTTGTGATGTCTCAATTAAGGTGCTAATTGTTGTCCACAAGCCTAGTGTAATGTACATCATGCTTAAACAGTCAAAAACAATGACTATGTAGGTCTCTATTTTACATTTTTGTACACCTGGGCAAACAAGTCTGGAAAATCTACACAACAAACATAATTTCACCAAGAATAAGAACAACATTATCCATTCCTTTTATCCAAATGCTAAATAAATACTTTTGCAGCGGCTGTTGTTGAAATAAACTCATATAATTTGCTGATGAGTGACTAAAACAACCAGTTTTATTATAAAAAAATTAAAGTGCACATAGTTAACTCATTTTGTGCATGGTAAGTTACAGCTGAACAACCAATTGGCCAGCATAAAAAAAAAATGACTTAAACAAAATAAGCATTATCATTTCAAACAATTCATACAAGCTAAAAAGCTTATGTGTCAAGAAAGAGGACGAGTAGAGTAGGTTCTTAAAACTGTAATTATAATTTTATCTTATTTGTTAAATGGCTCGTAGCATTTCACAGCTGGAACAAATGAAATATTCCCAAATAGCCTAATTTACATACCGTAATTAAAGCCATCAGTCTAAGCTGCAAAAAGCATCTCCAAATCTAAATAGGAGCTTGTTTAAATTTAAATGAGGTTTTTAGAATAATTGGCCAAAACCCAGATAAGTATTTTATTTTTTTGCTTCTAGCACTAATCTACATTTTACTTTCCTTCTAAAAATACTGCATCACAATTTTAAAGGCATCATTGTACAAGTCGGATCTAAATCAAAGTTAATTTAAATTTAGATTACGTTTATTATAATATTGGCCCCTTAACCCAGATTAGTATTTTTTTTTCTTCTGTTTTTGCCTGCGGCACTATATAATCTCTATTTATTTCCTTTTGAAGAATAGGAACATATTTTCAAAGTAGACTTAGAGATTACATGTATTCTCCAAGGAATTTTCTTGTTTTCACAAATAATGATCTTGCAACTACTTTCAAGAATATTGTTCATGGTATTTTGTTGAAAGTCAGGTACAGGCAATTTATTTGAGAAAGAGTTATTGTTCTCCCAAATAATTATCTCACACTTACCACCACAAACAAAGTCTATATTTTTATGCAGAAAGTCACGTAGGTGAAATTTAAACTAATCCTAGTAAACAAACAGCACTCCTACTCTTTTTGTTGTTTGTTCGATGATCCATAGCTGATTGTCTCGTTTTGTACATGACTCAGCTACCAAATTTAAGTCATATAACATATTTCTTTCCCACACAAAAGCTCAAACTCCTTCAAGAAATTTTAGCTTTTAAGAAATAATAATGTTAAACTCATATGTCAAACTGGCTTGACTACATTTTGAAATGGTTGAATAAATGTTCTGGGCTCACCATCAAACAAAATAGAACAAGTTAAGGTTGTTTTAGTGAATGGATGAGTGAACTTTTATTAATAATTACTCCTGTACAGGATTTTCAGCAACTATTTACAATGGTAGACAATTTACAATCCGAAATGAACAACTTAAAATAGGGTAACAAAATGAAAAATATATAATGTCCAATGAGTATCATACAAAGACTATTTATGTGCCCCTCTTAGGGAGTCCTTCAAAGAATATTTCATTTACTTTAGTGAAGGCAAGTTCACTAGCTCACTACTCAGGGAATTTAATAGTGAAACTGCTCTATAGGCAAAGGTTAGTTGACCGTTCGCAGACTTATCAAAAGGGATTTGAAGTTTGTTGCTATATGCCACATGGCTCAATCATGTATGGTGGTGCGTTTTTGTACCTTGTTACATATTAAGTAGTCGGGTGCTAAATTATTGGCACACTTATAGGCCATAACTGTACCTCTAAGTTGTAGTGTCTGGCTCATTGACAACCAGTTAAGTTGGTGCAATTGGGGAGTAACATGATCGCGCTTCCTGGAACCGGTGATGATCTTACAAGCAAAGTTTTGGATCAGTTGCAGTTTCTTTATATTTAGCAGAGGATGTATTTGACCACAATGTTGAGCAATAGAACATTTTACTGAATACCAGTGATGAAATAACAAGCATTGGTGTTTCCTTGTCGAAACTATTTCTAACTCTGTTGATCTGGACTAGTTTTGATAAACAAGAAGAAACTAACTTAAAGTAAGAAATGTGACTATTGTAGGTAAGATGTGAGTCAATGATAACGCCTAAGTCTCTTGCTGAGTCAACAGGGGTAAGGGACTTCCCAGGAATGACACCGAGAAATTATTGGAATGTCCATTTATCAGCTGCCTTATGCCAATCAGCATAAATTTAAATTTCGCTTTATCGGGGTTTATTAGCAACTGGTTTTCTCAACACCAACACCATGCAAAATCAACAGATCTTGTCCAATTAATTAAGACACTTGAATCTTCATATACTGGTCAAGCTCGCCCTTTACTTATTGTGATTTAACACCCTTTCCTGTTATTTTATAACATATATCCCATTTGCAACTAACACCTCAAGACAGAAAGAAATACAGTCACTGTGATAACTTGTGAGAAATGAGGAACTCCAGGATGTTGTATCATTCTATATAAGAATATTTTGTCATATCCAATAATAGTTGCTTCAATTACTAATGCATAATTGTTTTATTGTATACTCTTGGCAGCAAAAGAGCATCAGACCATGGTGTATTGTCACTTAAAGTAAATACTTCAACTCAATAATCTATGCCTGATCCAACCTTTATTTCATTTTCCAAAACGGTTGTTAATTTTGGATATTTTTTTTTATTCCCCTAAACCTGTGCAAGGGTTAACATGGAACTAATGACAATGTATATACACCAGTAAATCAATTTAGTTCTAATATCCTTTCCGTAATTTGGAATGACCAGCAGTTCTCCTGGTGCACATGATTTCTTAAAACTCTACATACATACATACATACGTTAGTTGACCACTCCCCACGGGGGCTTTTCAGGGCAAATTCCCACCCATCCCACCCCAAGGGAGGACATCCACAACACAGTATTCTCGTGCGTGGGAAATTAACGTCTCCTACCCTAACCCTGAGGAGACGGGGCCTACGGTTTATTCGTCCTTATCCGAAAAGACTAGAATATCTATCCATTTCTTGATTATAGAAAGGTAGCAAATTCTCCTCACTTATTTTAAGACCATGAGTATCGGTCCGGGCAGGGCTCGAACCCTCGACCTCCCGCACAACACAATCCGGCGCTCTAACCAATTGAGCTAACCGGGAGGCGGTTTGAGCTAACCGGGAGGCGGTTAGAGCTAACAGGGAGGCGGTTGAGCTAACCGGGAGGCGGTTAGGTCTTCAAAACCTGTAAAATTCATTGGTTACATGAGAGTAGAATTTCAACAATATTCTATCAGCAATCATCACTTCACCTATCCACAGCTGACTAAAACATAAGTGATAGTTAAATTAATTACATTTACAGTTTAAAAAAGTGCCCTATAGCTGTTCAATATAAATTTTGCAGAGGTCTATAGAAAATATATTTTTGATGAACAACTAATTTACTGGATAATTTGCCACTATTACTGGAATAACAGGAACATGTTTCCATTAGCATTAAATAAACTAATTTGCTAACTAAAACATGTAAACATATCATTGCCAAGAAATTTATTGCTGTATTAAAATTTCATTTATTTTAATTAACTAATATTGAACATGTTCAGGTGATAAAATTGTGAAAAATGAAATGAGAAATAAAACACGAACCCTGCCTTAAGGCTTATAAAGAAGAAAACAAAAAATGCACAGCAAAAAACAGTTTCTCATAAACATGAGTGGAAAAAAGGTGTTACAAAAACACCTTAAAATTTATTCATTTCTCATCTGTATAAGAATGTTTAAATCACTAACCAACCAGAATGTGGCATCCATTTAGAAATTCCTGGAACAAAGAACAACATAATTATACTTCACTCAGCAAGCATTAAGAAAACTCGATCTTAGTATGTGATTTGAATCTTAAAAGTTTGTGCATTTTTGTTTGGATTTTTTCATGATTGTATCTCGAAAAAAGAAAGAAGCTTCATGGCTCTCAAGTTTTCCTGGAAAAATTTACTGACCCCTAGTGTAGTTCCTCCCACTATATTGAGTTTCTTTGGGTTATTTAATTTTGCTCATAACCAAAGCAGGAAAAGCTTGGTCTGTGACNAAGACTAGAATATCTATCCATTTCTTGATTATAGAAAGGTAGCAAATTCTCCTCACTTATTTTAAGACCATGAGTATCGGTCCGGGCAGGGCTCGAACCCTCGACCTCCCGCACAACACAATCCGGCGCTCTAACCAATTGAGCTAACCGGGAGGCGGTTTGAGCTAACCGGGAGGCGGTTAGAGCTAACAGGGAGGCGGTTGAGCTAACCGGGAGGCAGTTAGATCTTCAAAACCTGTAAAATTCATTGGTTACATGAGAGTAGAATTTCAACAATATTCTATCAGCAATCATCACTTCACCTATCCACAGCTGACTAAAACATAAGTGATAGTTAAATTAATTACATTTACAGTTTAAAAAAGTGCCCTATAGCTGTTCAATATAAATTTTGCAGAGGTCTATAGAAAATATATTTTTGATGAACAACTAATTTACTGGATAATTTGCCACTATTACTGGAATAACAGGAACATGTTTCCATTAGCATTAAATAAACTAATTTGCTAACTAAAACATGTAAACATATCATTGCCAAGAAATTTATTGCTGTATTAAAATTTCATTTATTTTAATTAACTAATATTGAACATGTTCAGGTGATAAAATTGTGAAAAATGAAATGAGAAATAAAACACGAACCCTGCCTTAAGGCTTATAAAGAAGAAAACAAAAAATGCACAGCAAAAAACAGTTTCTCATAAACATGAGTGGAAAAAAGGTGTTACAAAAACACCTTAAAATTTATTCATTTCTCATCTGTATAAGAATGTTTAAATCACTAACCAACCAGAATGTGGCATCCATTTAGAAATTCCTGGAACAAAGAACAACATAATTATACTTCACTCAGCAAGCATTGAGAAAACTTGATCTTAGTATGTGATTTGAATCTTAAAAGTTTGTGCATTTTTGTTTGGATTTTTTCATGATTGTATCTCGAAAAAAGAAAGAAGCTTCATGGCTCTCAAGTTTTCCTGGAAAAATTTACTGACCCCTAGTGTAGTTCCTCCCACTATATTGAGTTTCTTTGGGTTATTTAATTTTGCTCATAACCAAAGCAGGAAAAGCTTGGTCTGTGACTCACAGTACAAACCTCGAACTTGATTGGTAAGAGGCATTTACCCCCGCCACCAGCATCAAAAAGCACAATTCTTTCATTTAATTAGCCAGTGGAGATTTACTTAATATTAAAATTTTAGCTTCCTCCAAATTAAAGGTAAAATCCTAAAATAGAAGCATAAAAATAATAGCAAGACATTGTTTCCAGGAACTAAGTGATCTAATAATAATAATAATAATAATAATAAAAATAATAGCAGACAAAGGGGAAGCAACATTAGGATTGTCTGTAGAGTAATATGCCACAAGCAATCCCAGTCTTGTAGAGAACTGACTGTTTGTATCCAAAATGTTTAAAAATTTAATTAGCCAGTGGAGATTTACTTATTAAGATGTTAGCTTCCTTCAAATTAAAGGTAAAATCCTAAAATAGAAGCATAAAAATAATAGCAAGACATTGTTTCCAGGAACTGAGTGATCTAATAATAATAATAATAATAATAATTATAATAATAATA